GAACTTATTTACAAAAGAGAAAGAGAGTCACAGACTTAGAAAACTTAAGGTTACCAAAGGGGAAGGGGCGGCAGGGAAGGGGTAAATTAGAAAATTGAAATTAATACATTCATACTACCATACATATAAAAGACAAAACCAGTAAGAACTACTGCGCGGAGCACAGGGACCTGCACTCAGCACTCGTGCGTGTGTGTGTGTGTGTGTGTGTGCATGCTGAGTCGTCTCTGACTCTTGCAACCCCATGGACGCAGTCCATCCGGCTCCTCTGACAATGGGATTTCCCAGGCAAGAATACTGGAATGGGGTGCCATTTCCTACTCCACAGGGTTTGTGCCTGTAAGGGAAAAGAATCTGAAAAAGCATACAGATGTACACACATATAAAACTGAGTCTTGGAGCTGTATACCCGAGAATCACACAACACTGTAGATTGATGATACTTTGTTCGTTAACACTATTAAATTTAAAAGGAAGTTAATTAAAAAAACCCGAGACTTCCTTGGCGGTCTAGTTGCTAAGACTACGTACTTCCAATGCAGGAGGATGCAGGGTTCAATCCCTGGTTGGGAAATTAAGCTCCATTCTGCCACCGGTGTGGAAAAACAACAACAGACTATATAAGTGCTGTAAAGAGGGCTAAAAAATGGGAAATAGAAACATTTCTTCTAAATAAAAAATACAGGTTTTTTACCTGAATAGCAATAATAAAGTAATGAAAAAATAAATGTTACCTTCACCAGGAAAGAATTTCAGAAGATAAAATGGAAAACAGTATGGTGCTGGTACAAAGACAGATGTACACATACAGTGTCACACAGTCTCTGATAAGGATGTGAAGGCTGCACAATGGGGAGAGGGTAATGTCTTCAGCAAATGGTGCTGGGAAAACTGGATACCCATAAACAACAGAAAAAAGATGGACCTCCACCTCACACGCTACATACAAATATCAGCTCCAAATAGATTAAAAACCTAACCACAGGACATGAAACCGTCAATCTTCTAGAAGAAAACAGAGGAAGAACATGATGTTGGAATGCAGATGATTTCTTGAATATGACAGCAAAAGAGAAAACAGACAATAACAGGACTGTAACAAACTTAAGACCCTCCGTGAAGCAAAGGAAACCGTTAAAAGAGTGAAAAACGCAACGTACAAACAAAATGAGAGAAAGTATCTGCAAATCATGGACTTCTCTTGTGGCTCAGAGGTGAAAGAGTCCGCCTGCAATGCAGGAGATGCGGGTTCGATCCCTGGGTCAGGAAGATCCCCTTGGGGAGGGAATGTCAACCTGCTCCAGGGCTCTTGCCTGGAGAATCCCATGACAGAGGAGCCTGGGGCGCTGCAGTCCGTTGGGTCGCAACAAGTCGGACACGACTAAGCGAGTAAAGAGCAACAACAACAAGCCCGCAAATCTCCAGAACAGGCAGGGAACGGGCAAGTCTCAGCAATGACAAAACCACCCGATTCAGAAACTGACAAAGCAGCCGGAGAGACTTTTCTGCAGAGGCCCAGAGAGGACCCAGCACAGCTGATGGGCTGCGCCACATCACCGACCACCAGGGGCTGGAGGGCCCCGCGAGGCAGCGCCTCACAGCACGGTCAGGACGGCCGCCCGTGGGGTCGCTGCGGGGCCTCTCCCGACCCTCCCGCACCTGCCCCCTCCCAGGACCGCCCAGCGGACTGCGGACGGCACAGGCGCCGAGGCTGTGCGCACGGTGGGCCTGGTAGGGGCACGGCCCCCACTCCTGGGTCTTGCGCAGGAACCGGCCGCGCTGAGACCTGCAGAGCCGGGGCCGCACCATCACCCCCAACCCCGAACCGCAAGGCCTGGGTCCTACGAGCGCCCGGGCGGGACGGAGCCGGGGAGGGGCGGGGCCATGGGCACGTCGACCGCGGGGGCGGAGCCTGGAAGGGGCAGGGCCACGAGCACGTCGGTCGAGCGGGGAACGCGCCGCCGCCGCCCGACAACAACAACCCGGAGAGCCCCAACTGGCAGTCCTTCCACCCGACCCTACGCGAGAGGTGAGCCCGGGCCCGCCCGCCCCGCCCCGCCCGCGCGGCCCGAGCCCGAGTGTCCTGTGCCTCTGCCCTTTGCAGGAACGCGCTGATGTTCAACAACGAGCTCATGGCCGACGTGCACTTCGTCGTGGGGCCCCCGGGCGCGGCCCGGAGGGTCCCTGCCCACAAGGTTGGTAGAGGCTCGGCCCTGTGCGTTCCCAAAGGCGACGGGGCGCCTCCCGAGGATGGACGGTCCTCTTCTGGGTGTGGCAGCCGCTGGGGGCAGGGAGGCCCAGGACTCAGGGCCGCACTCTTCTCGTTCACAGTATGTCTTGGCCGTGGGCAGCTCTGTCTTCTATGCCATGTTTTACGGGGATCTGGCGGAAGTCAAGTCAGAAATTCACATTCCCGATGTGGAACCTGCAGCTTTTCTGATCTTGTTGAAGTAAGTCTGCCTCCTGAGGGTGGGAGGATGGGGCGGTTCCTTGCTGTCTGGTTCTTCCAGCCAGCCGCCTGGAGCGTCCTCAAAGTGCACAGGGACGGATGGGCCCCTCTGCCGGGCGCTGGGTGCCCGGGGTGCCCCTTGCTGCCCATGACTTGGTCCCCGCCCTGCCTAGGTACATGTACAGTGACGAGATTGACTTGGAAGCCGACACTGTGCTGGCTACCCTCTACGCTGCCAAGAAGTACATTGTCCCTGCCTTAGCAAAAGCCTGTGTCAACTTTCTGGAGACAAGTCTGGAAGCCAAAAATGCCTGTGTCCTGCTGTCACAGAGCCGACTGTTTGAGGAGCCTGAGCTGACCCAGCGCTGCTGGGAGGTCATCGATGCGCAGGCTGAGATGGCCCTGAGGTCCGAAGGCTTCTGTGAGATTGACTGGCAGACGCTGGAGATCATCGTCACGCGGGAGGCCCTCAACACCAAGGAGGCTGTGGTTTTTGAGGCAGTCCTGAGCTGGGCGGAGGCCGAGTGCAAGAGGCAGGGCCTGCCTGTCACCCCTCGCAACAAGAGGCACGTGCTGGGGCCAGCCCTCTACCTGGTCCGGATTCCAACCATGACCCTGGAGGAGTTTGCCAACGGCGCCGCGCAGTCAGACATCCTGACGCTGGAGGAGACCCACAACATCTTCCTGTGGTACACAGCAGCCAACAAGCCCCTCCTCGAGTTCCCCCTGACCAAGAGGAAGGGCCTCGCGCCCCAGAGGTGCCACCGCTTCCAGTCCTCCGCCTACCGCAGCAACCAGTGGCGCTACCGCGGGCGCTGCGACAGCATCCAGTTTGCCGTGGACAGGAGAGTCTTCGTCGCCGGGCTGGGCCTGTACGGCTCGAGCTCTGGGAAAGCAGAGTACAGTGTGAAGATCGAACTCAAGCGGCTGGGGGTGGTCCTGGCGCAGAACTTGACCAAGTTTGTCTCTGACGGCTCCAGCAACACCTTCTCAGTCTGGTTTGAACACCCCGTGCAGGTGGAGCAGGACACCTTCTACACGGCCAGTGCCGTCCTGGACGGCAGCGAGCTCAGCTACTTTGGGCAGGAGGGCATGACGGAGGTGCAGTGCGGCAAGGTGACCTTCCAGTTCCAGTGCTCCTCTGACAGCACCAACGGGACTGGGGTCCAGGGTGGGCAGATCCCTGAGCTCATCTTCTACGCCTGAGGTGCCTGGGGGCCAGCCGTGCTAAGGCCAGCCCGGGACTGGGAGTGCTTGGAGGCGGGGAGTGCTCTGTTCCGGTTGGGCCGCGTTCGCGGCCTATCTCCTGTGTGCGGTCAGCCTGGGCCTGGGGTGTGACGTGGACGCTTCCCTCCCCAGCCAGAGCCCTGGTCTCTGAGCCGTGGCTGCTGGGCCAGCCTCACAGGCATCTCCTGTACAGTGGGGTGTGCATCTCAGGTGGAGGGCGGGTTTGGGGGTGCAAGGCAGGCCCCAGGTTCCCCCCCAGTGTCGCCTCCCACCTGCTTTGAGGGTTCTGCCCTCTCCTTTGTCCTCTTGGATTCTATTCTAAGTGGTTCTAAGCTTAAGACCTCTTCAAATCCAAAATGGGAAGTCACTTCAAGTAGTTCACCTATTTAAGTGGATTTTCATAATAAAGTTTTAACAAAATGAGAGCCACACACAGGTGAATGACTGTGAGTCTCACGGGCCTGACAGCCCTAACAGGTCAGCGGGCAGTCCCATGGGCCCACCTGCCCAGGGTGTGCCCTCTGCCGGCAGCTGGGCCTCCACCCAGGAGGGCTTGCTTTCTGGACTGCAGCCCAGATTGCCCTGGAGAAAGGCATCGGGTCGTGTCTACCTTCCAAACTGTCACTCACCGCTCAGAGTCGTCCCGTCCGGCTCCAATGTGGAGGGGGGTTCTCTGCAGGGCTTGGGGCTCCAGCCCCCGAGAGCAGACCTACTACCTCAGGCTCACGGGCAGCCTGCACGGGCACACTGTGGGCTCAGGCAGGCCCCTCGGGCCTCTTGCCTCTCTGCTCCCATGCTACAAACCCCCGACCAGTTGCTTTGTCCCTGGAAAACCTCAGCTTGACCCCAGAGGGATGTGCCATGTCCCTCAGCACAAGGATATAGCCCCGTCAGAGGAGGACGCCCTGACCTAGCGCATCTCTGCCCCCACCACCCTTACCCCCTTGGCCCCAGGGGACCATCCTGTGGCAGAGGGGGGTGGGGCAGGACTACAGCCCCTGCCCACCCTCCCTGACTCCACATGCTGCCTCCTTAGTACAAGAAAATGTGCTTCTAGACACCCATGGCGACGGAGCAGTCTCTCCGGCCGACAGTGAAAGCGGTCCCCGTGGTGAAGCTCCCATGGAGGCCCACCATGACGGAAAGGCCGGCTCCATCTGCGGGGGTCTTGCCATCCCCGAGGCCCTTGTTACCGGGGTCCCGCTCGCACCTGCCGGGGACTGATCGCAGCATTCTTTCACGGGAGGCGGCTTCCAGGCGCCAGTGCCCCGCTGCGGGTCCTCATCCCACACGCAGCCCTCCCGCCCCACGGGCCCCACAGTACCTATGGCCGGTGCGTTGATGCAGAGCTCTCTCGCCAGGAGGAGGAACGTCTTGCCCAGCACGTAAACGTTCACCTGTCATGAAGAAACACAACTCAGGACAGCCCTTGGCAGCAGGAGAGTGTGTGCTCCTCGGTCACCTTTCGGAGCGGCCCTACTGCCCCCCACAACAGCCCGGGGCGCCCCCACCCCTCGTCCAGATGGCTTTTTAAGACTCACTGTCTCAGTGGTGGCTGACTTTGCTGAGAAGGAAAGCTGCCTGCAGGACAGCTGGCTCAGCAGAATCCTCCAGAGCCCGAGGTGCCTGGACAGCAGGGCCCAGGCCGCCCCTCCACCCCGCTCCCCGGGGCGTCCTTGTTGCATCCCTGCAGGCCAGCGTAAGTGTGGCGGTGGGTCTGCAGACCTGAGTGCCCTGCCTGCTCGCCCCTCGAGGGCCAAGCCCTGCCCAGGCCCATGCCGGGCGTCTTACTGTCCCAGCCTGAGGAGACAAAGCCCCATCTCTACCTGTCCACCCCAGCCCCCCACAGGATCCGGGCCTCGCGAAACGCTGGCTCTGATCCTCTGCTCTGACTCCCCAGAGGGCCCCCTGCCCCCATCAAGCCTGGCCTGTGGGCCCCTTGGCCAGCCCCCAGGAGGATGCCAGGCACAGTGGCGAGGTGGCCGAGTGAGGGCCTGGCAGGCCTCCCATCACAGGGCCTGCGGACAGCACTCGGGGTGGGGGGGGCACGGAATGGGGCATTGAGCCCCCCTTAGAGGTGATGGGGGTCCCCATGGGCACCAGTCGGGGCGAGACCCCCCCTGCTCACCCCACTGGCAGCTACTCTCTGCCCTCGTCTGACCCCACCCTAAGGGCTGTGGCTCCCAGAGGGGCCTCCGAAGGGCACCCCGCCCGGGCCAGCCTCCAGCCTGCCGGTCGTCCCTCCGCCAGGTCCCCCAACACATCCCTGACGCTGCCCGCCCGTCACAGCCCCGCACCCAGTCCCGCGGCCCGGGCAGATGACACCTGAGTGCTGCAGGAAAGGGTGCCCTGGACAACTTCAAGTGAAAATTTTTAAAAGGACATGCGTGTAAAACGTGTGGTGACTGTCAGAGATGCTCACTGCCATTAGTATTCTTTAGAAATCATGACATTGACACTTTGTCTGAGGGTCACCTCCGAATCTGCAGCTGGTTGTGGGTGCCCCCGGGTCCGTCTCACTATGGGGGGGAGGGACAAAGGGACCTCCTCCCAGGATCCTCAGCACAGCAGCTGCCGTCAGCTGTGAGCTCAGTGCGGGAGGTGCTCACCTGGGCACGTGTGAGAGTGAGGATGGACCGAGTCCTGAGCCTTCCCGCACTTCCGCTAGGCGGATGGCCCTGGGCAGTGGGAGCCCTCTGGGCAGGACCTCCCTCGACGTGTGTGCACGACACCCACAGTCAAGTGTAGACATCTGTCCTGTGCGTGCTGAGCCTGTCCCGGCCTCACGCCCTGGAAGGGCCGGGCTCATGACTGCCAGGTCACCACCCACCCTCCTGGTGCCCAGGCTGGGTTCCGCCCAGGACAAAAGGCCCGAGGCCCGCCCTCCCCCTGAGGTGTGTGAACTGTCTGTGTGGGTGCAGCCTGCATGCACGGGGTCCCGCTGGCCCTGACCCAGCCCCAGGGGAGGGGAGCTCTGCTCCGTCACCTCTCCACCCCAGCCCTGACTGTGTCCCGCTCCCCGAGGTGTGAAGCAGGAAGCACCGGAACACCTCCCTCTACCTTCCAAGCGGCGCCCAAGTACTTCTGGAATGCTGTCCTGAGGAATCGCCAGGAAGGAAACCCGCACGTGGACTTGCCCTGACCAAACACAGTATGTGGAGAACTGGATTTTCATGATCCCAGGGATTCTTTCCAGGGTGACCCCAGAAGGTTTCAGCAGGGCTGCTGAGAGATGCTGTTTATACAGGCAGTCTCAGGTCAGTGCAGGTCTGTCTGCCCACCGTGGGTTGCTGAAGGCCCAGCCCTGGGCCAGCTTCCTTTGGGAGCGGGGATTCCTAGGCACTTTGCGTGCATCCTCACAATGGTCACATCTGCTTTCCCTGACATGGCATGACGTTAGTTTTCTTTCCAAATCCTCAGTAGAGAGCCCAGCACCACCAAGCCCAAGCTCAGCCAGCGCCATAACCAGGGCATGTGCAGACCACAGTGGCCCCACCCTGGAGGTGGCCCCTCCCTATGAGCATCCCATCCACACTGGTGTCCCTCTTGGTGGTCTTACTATTACCATCAGTCATTTGGAAATGAGAGGAACCCAGAAAGCAAGTTTCTCTAAATAGGCTGCAAGTATTAACATAAGCTGTTACACTGTTTAAATGTATGCACATGGGTCCATTTTGGTCTTTGAAGAACCTCCCTTGCCTTGGACGAAGGTCAGCTGGGTCTCTCCTGTGGCTCTACAACCAGCCCCCAGGACACCGCCACCACCCTGTGTCCAGTGTCTCCCTACCCCTTCTGTTCACCAGTTTCCAAACCAAGACCCAGGCCCTCCCCACTCTTCTCCTGTGGACCCTCCCAGCCGGGGTGGGCGGGGCCTGAGCAGGGCGGGGCTCCGGGGCCGGGTGGGTGCGTCTACCTGGAGCAGGTCGCTGAGGTCGAGGAGCATGTCTGCACAGGAGTCAAGGAGCAACGACCAGGCCCACAGGCGCCGGCCACCGGACGGTCTCCGGGAGGCAGACCCTGGCTGTAGATCTAAGCTCCGCATGGGATCGCGATCCAGAGGCGGCCACGTCGCGGGGAGGGGGCAGTGAGTCTCCACCACGCAGGGGGCGGGGCTGGGGGCGGAGCTACAACGTGGACCCCGGAGCACAGCCGCCTGTGCGGGCCAGCCCTGCATCTGCACGGGCCCTGCCCAGCCTGGCCCACAAGCACGGGCACCCACTGCGCGCCTGCTGGGCACCAGGCAGGGGGGCAGACACACACACACACACGGGACCCCAGGTGGCTGGCGGGCACTGCCACAGTGCTGGTCTCCAGGGGACAGCTGGGGGCACTCTGGCATTGGCCCAGTCCTCACTCTCAGTAGATGAGTAAGGAGTCATCAGAATACGTCCTGAGTGAGTCAAAACCTAGCCAGCCACACACAGAGAACTATATATAAAACATGGGCCTCTGAGAAAAGCAGCTTGTCAAATGAAGTTAGTATTACTCATGCTGAGGCTTTGAGAAGTAGCTGAGAAAGGATCCGGTGACATTGAACCAGAGCCTGGACCGGGCATCCAGAGGGAAAGAGGGAAGGAAGCCCCGAAGCCATAGCCTCATTCCAGCAGGCGGCGTGCTCTGAGCATGACCGCCAAGGTCCTTGAATAAAAGGCACCTTGTTTCGCAGCCTCTGAAGACGGGCCCTTCATCAGGGAGTGCAGTGAGACAGATGAGACTGCAGAGCAGACCAACACTAGGGAGAACTCTGAAAACAAGTGAAATCACAAGAAGTGAAAGGATGGCCACAGTAGATACACGAGCAGGCATCAGTGACCCCAGAAAAAGCTAACACAGCCAAGAGACCAGGTGCTGTCAGGCTCCAACAGTATCACACCGAGGGAAGGACAGCGGGGGCCTGAAGTCGCCAAGGGCTGGGGCACTGGGCAGGAGGGAGGGAGGGAGGCTACATGCCTCCACCCCGGCGGGCACACGGCCTACTCTCACTGGTCGCGCCCAGGAGTGTGGCCACCAAGAGTAAGCCCTCAGGGCGGCTGTGGACGTCGGCTAACAGAAACGACCAACGTGTGTCTGCCCAACAGAGCTCTCCGTGCAAGCCGGTGACAGAGAAGCTCTGCGTGGGGTGGAGAACGTGGTGGTCAGCACAACTTCGTAGACCCAACGCTGCTCTTAAAATGAAGTCTATTTTTGAAATGATACAGATAAAGTGAATGTCCCAAAAATGGGCAAAAAAGGTTTGAACAGGTGTGTCACAAAGAGAAGCAAAGAGCCCCCACAGGACTCAGAGTGGCCCCCACACCGACGGCGGGGCCGGCAGCTCTGCAGGAGGGCCCTCCAGCTCTCAGGGCAGCCAGCGGTTGAGCCCGTCCCGACCACGCTCACGCCCCAAGGAGGGTGAAGTCACAGAACTTCAAGCACAAGAGGGACGACGGGAAGCAGCAGAGACCACCGCACACTCCAGAGACGGGCCGAGGGGACACACACATCTGCTTCCCAGGCAGGGCGTTCCGGAACAAGTGAAATGAACCCACGGGGGCCTCGGGGTGGGCTGCTGGCGCTGCCCTGCTCCCTGGAGGAGGGGCTGGCCACACAGACCTGGGTGCTCATCAGAACTCATCCCAGGGCACGATTAAGACTGTGCATTCCATTTCATGCCGGTTTTGCCTTAAAAGGAAAGAAGAACCATAAACAAACGCTGGGATCTAGTCAGTTAATAATCCGCCCGCTGAGGGCTTGGGGGCAGCAGGCAGATATCTGCACCGCCCTTTGAAAATGCCAAGAGCACAGGCTGAGGGACCAGCGGGCGGGAGCTGGCAGCGCAGACAAGCTGTGTGTGCAAGGAGCGGCTGGGGCTTCCCACTGCGTCAGCAACCCTCTCACCTTTCCCAGGTGTTTGAGAGCTTTCATGACAAAATGATGGGGGAAGGGGGAATGTGTGTATTTTAAAAAGGAAATTGGGATTCAACTTTTAACCAATTTAAAATGAAACAGCACTTGCGGTCCTTGAACAGCGCGCCATCAGCACTAAAGAGCAGAAAAGGATGGCTGCACAGCGCCCACCCAGCCCCAGGGCCCCGCCCCGGCCACCACGGCCCTGCTCAGGGACCCGACCCCCGCAGCCGGCCACTAGAGCAGCAGCTGACGGCCACGCCCCGCCAAGCACAGAGGCCGCGGACACCGCGCCCCGGCGTCCTGCCACGTCACTTCTACCTGGCGGTGACGCCCGGCCCTGCGGGAAGTCCAGAAGCCGCTCGGGAGAGGGCAGAGGGGCCGGCGGCACGAGACACCAGCTGGCAGTGGGGGAGCGGGAAGCAGCAGTCTGCTTTGGCAACTTCACCTACAGCCACAACGAAACGGAGAGCGGCCGTGCTGTGGCGAACAGGTCTGAAAGCCAGACAAAGTGCAAGCAGCTCTTGGAAGTCACAGGGGAGCCGCCAGGAGCTGCACCCAAGGGCACGGGCCTAGAAATCTGGAAAGGCCAGGGGCCTGCCAGTGGCTCCAGCTCCAGCTCAGGGTACCAGCCGCCCCGAGGGCAGAAGGCCAAGGCCCAGGCTGCATCCTGGAGCTCACACAGCCTCACCAGGACTTCCAAGACAGCCAGCCTCAAGGGACCCAATTGTCAAGAAGTGGGCCCAATGCCACGCACACAGCACCCCCTCCCCCAGCCTGGTCAGCTCCTGCTCCAAATGGGCACGAGGGTACATAGGCTCCATGCTGCAGCCAGCAGCAGTCAGCTCCCAGGGGCAAGAGCGTGCGGAGACCCCCGTGATGGCCCCGGCAGGTCCTGCCCTGGTCCTGCACCAAGCACCCCAAGACGCACAGCAAGGCCCAGACAGGCGGCCCTGGCTCTCTGCCTGCTAGGGCAGACGACAGCCCTTCTGGGTGAGAAATACCCACAGCTGCCACAAGTTTTCAAATACTTCCAGCAACTCTATAAAAACTTATTTCCCTGGTGACTCAGATGGTACAGAATCCACCTGCAATGCAAGAGACCTGCATTTGATCCCTGGGTTGGGAAGATCCTCTGGACAAGGGAATGGCTACCCACTCCAGTATTCTTGCCTGGAGAATGCCATGGACAGAGGAGCCTGGTGGGCTACAGTCCACGGGGTCACAAAGAGTCAGACACGACTTAGCAACTAACACACACATAAGTATAACAGACAGAAGCAGACCTCCAAAACCAAAAGAAAACTCAGACAACAAAATCAGTTTCCTCAATGATCCCACTGTTAGAGTTACATTAAAGACATTCATATAACTCCAGACATGGAAGATCTTACCAAAGAAATGGAATCTAATAAAAAACAATCAATGAAGTTAGGAAGTTAGTAGATTGGTTTAACATCCCGTGACACACAGCAAAAGAAAGGATGAAAGAACTCAAGATATGTCATGGGGCAATATTCAGAGAGAGGAAAAGAAAAAGGAAAACATGGAGAATACAAAACACAACCTGAGATGTGCAGAAAGGGTTTAATGTTCATGTAACCGGAGTCCTTGCTCCTTGGAAGAAAAGCCATGACAAACCTAGGCAGCGTATTAAAAAGCAGAGACGTCACTTTGCCAACAAGGTCTGCATGGTCAAAGCTATGGTTTTTCCAGTAGTCGTATATGGATGTGAGAGTTGGACTGTAAAGAAGGCTGAGCACTGTAGAATTGATGCTTTCAAACTGTGGAACTGTGGAGAAGATTCTTGAGAGTCTCTTGGACTACAAGGAGATCAAACCAGTCAATCCTAGAGGAAATCAGTCCTGAATATTCATTGGAAGCATATCAGATACTGAAGCTGAAGCTCCAATACGTTGGCCACGTGATGCAAAGACAACTCATTGGAAAAAAGGCAGGAGGAGAAAAGGACGACTGAGGATGAGATGGTTGGATGGCATCACCGACTCAATGGATATGAGTTTGAGCAAGCTCCAGTAGGTGGTGATGGACAGGGAGGCCTGGCCTGCCGTAACCCACGGGGTCACAAAGAGTTGGACACGACTGAGTGACTGAACAACCACTGGAGTCCTAGAAAGGGGACAGGGTGAGAATGGGGGAGAATCTGTGCTTAGAAAGATACCTCCCAAGATTCTCCCCAAACAGACAGAAGCCACAAATTCCTGAGGCTGGACAAGTGCCAAAAAAACTACATCTAAGTACACCAGAGTCAAACCCTGAAACAAAGACAAAAGTGGCAGTGATACGAGACGATACCCATCAGACACCGACAGGAGGTCACGAAGCCCACCCGCTACCCTTTCTACTCATGGTAAATCTACTAATGGTAAAGCCACTGCCCCTGGCTTTACCGCGCATGGGCAAGGGGACCTGAGTCCGCTTCAGTAACAGACAATTACATGCTGCTTGTAACCGACATACCTTAAACATAGCAAGGAATGAATTTTAAAATATGGGAAAAGACAAACTATGCACATCCTCAGCAAAAGAAAGCGGGTTTAGTTATACCAACATCCAATAAAGCTTAAGGGGAGAAGTGGTGATGAAGATGGACATTTCATGATGTTCAGCATCATTCCCACCAGGAAGACACAGGCTCCTGAATCTGTATCCTCTAAACACAGCATCAGAATACAATGGGGAACCAACGGGGTAAAAGGAAGTCAGTCAGTCCTCATCTGCAGTAGGAGTTTCAAACTCTTCCTTTAGAACAAGGGGACAGAAAAACCAGCAAGGCTGATTTGAACACGACTAACCAACTTGACCCAACGGACATTTATAGACCGCTCCACCCAACAGGTGCAGAAGCCCATTCCTTTGAAGTGCCCGTGGCACGGCCACCAAAATA